ATCTTTGGGGACGTTTTTCCTGTGCGTTCTTCTCTTTACAACGGGAAGCTCGCAGCCGGGCAGGACTTCTCTCGCCTCGAGAACAACCACGGCCACAAAAAATTCTAGCCGATATGGCCTATCCTGCCCGCACACCGCGGCCATTTCTCATGCACCACAGCGCCGCCTTCACACACGCTTGACGAGAGCCATTTCCTTTCGAGGACATCAACCGCATATTATCTCAACGACAAAAACATCGCCACACGACATTCGAGCGTTCTCGCCGCTTTACACACACACCCACAACTATTCCCTAGCGCATTTATGACGCAAAATGTGCGGACAAATCAGCTGATACCAGTCAATATCTTAAAGTAAGATTATGAGTAAAAAAACGGAATGAATTCATGGCAATGACGCTTCTCACTGGAACACGCCATGGGCTTTACTTTTATCCGGAATTCACAGATATTTGAAAAGCCCCACTTCAACAATGATTTTTGAGAAGCAGTCAGTATTTAGTGGTCAGCATTTTGTCGTTCCAAACAATGCTAAAGATTATTCAAAAAATAAAACAAAAAATTTACACCTGGATGAGGTCCCGTACAACGACCGGCGCAGGTACTAAATGGGCAACTTGCCAGAGAGCCAGCCACCCGTCAAATGTTACAAAACGAATTATGTCTCAGCAAACAATATTAGACTTTCGGACACACCAGCTTCCCTAGTTTGGAGGCATCGTGCACGGAAAACGTGCACTTTCTTTCCCTGCACAAAATTGTTATGTCTATCACAGATGTCCATGTGCAAAGTTCTCAGGAAAACATGAACATCCCAAGAGAAACAGCCTTTGAGAAAGTTCACCGCCTGGACGGCTAGTGGTACAAGAGGTGGGGCCATAAAGGGCTCATGGAACAAGTTTCGCGGTAGGTGCGGCCAAGTGTGTTTTGGGAAGATCTACCTTAAAGCTCCCGTTCACATTTACGAGTTCAGCTTCACACGTGTCATTTTCCTAACACCAACATTTGTGACAGTTTACGGCGGGAATTCAAATGACTTATTGTCGACCTGGTTAATAGAATTTATTACCAAAATCAGCGCTAAATTATCGTTCTTTTTCGTGATCCCTCATAAAGCACGCGGTCCAAAGCACCAATTTTTGTGATGATGGATGTACCTAAATTCCGTGCACGATGGCTTTAATCTCTTTGATACCACAAAAAACCTCTGAAAAATCTTTGAACCATTCCATTTTGAGAATTATGATTCCGAAAATAGAGATTTGCTGACTTCTCCCAACAAAGTCTCAAAAATCACAATCGCTCGGTGAATTCCTGGTTCTTTTTCAGAAGCCGCTATCTTATCAATTCCACAAGCGTCACGCAATTATGCATGACTTTAACTGCATTTTCTTCTCTTAAAGGGTAATTACGTCAATAGGAACTTTTTCATCGGTAACATGACATTTTATTGCGCTTTTTCTGCTACCTGCGTACTTCTAGCCACCTCCGCAAACTTGTCAGATAAGTCGTATCCATCTAATCGTAAAGCAAAAAGAACAAACATTATTTACCGCCATCTCCCTCTTCATACATATTTTGGAATACAAATTAAAATATATTAAATGAATCAATTAATTTATTTGAAGAATGGCTGGTTTTACAAGCGAAAAGCTTGCCAATAAAGGGTGTATGATAGCTTCACTGCTGATTTCTGGAGAAGATCTCAAAGCTGACCAAGTAACAAATGGAATGTTTTGAAGATACCTCAGGTATCACAGCTTCCATTTTACGAACCCAAGAAACAGCATGCAGTCATCTGCTAAGGATCCTCATATTGTATCCATAGGAAATGTCCCGCGAGAAGTGATCTTTCTTGGAAAACCGTATGTTGAACACAGCCCCTGCCAACTTGAGCGAGTTACCGTGGAAAACATGAAGCCCAAGAATATTGTTGGAATAAAAGGAGAGACCAAAGTCCACCCGTCTGTGAGATCCAGCCCAGACGTGTTCAAGTTTGATAAAAACAAAATAAAAACTACCGCCAAGCCAGGATACCAAACGGCCCCCCCCCCCGCCGCCGGAAATTTTTTCTAAAACTTTCTCTGTTTGAAGAAGGATTCCCAACTCGCATTTTCATCCTCCGAAAAAATAATCAAAAATCCTCTATTTCACTAACGAAACCCTCCCCGAAGGGGACAACTCGATGATTCCACTGCTTTTATTTAAAGATATTTTTATAAATACCATTCCCTCTTAAATATGAAAAAGTTAGGTGGCGCTTGATAATGAAAGCTTTCCGGTAAAAGCGAAATTGAAAAATTGAAAAGTTTAGAAACTGAAAAAGATCTACAACTTCCGCGAAACTTCAGCGACAAGCGTTACCGTAGAGCTAACGGCATTTACATTTCGACTACTCATTTTTTTTATCTGTCACCATCATTTTCACTGCTCTATCTTGAGAAAACCGAAAAAAACAACTGGAGATGCAAAATTCCGCTCATCTGAAACACACCCCTTACTATTTAAAAGCTCCAAAGTAAAGCCGCATTCTCTTCAACATCTCATTTCTTTACTCAACTTTTCTCTAAACTACGGTCTTCTTTCATAATCTTTTTCTGAATCATTCTAACACTTCGGAAAAAAAAAGCGCTGTCTTCTGGATCCAGCGGAACTATTTCCCAACCTTTAGTCGCAACTCCAGTCAAGTTTCCAGGTAAAATAAAACAGAAAGTTTTGAAAATTAACCATTAAAAAATAGGTTCCAAAAATTAAAAAAAAAAACTGGACAGAAAGTGTAACATCGCGGTACGAACATTTACAACGCGAACGCAGAGGCTTTTTCGTAGATCTACCTTGCTAAAAACTGTTGTTTTTGCGTCTAACATATTTGGAGCGTTCCCTAAACGCGAGCGAACATCAAATATATTAAAATTCAACTAGTTCTTTCGTCCTTCATCTACACGTCGAATTCTCGGAAAATCATAACGTTAAAAAAGGCATAAGAACTCAATTTAAAGAATCAGACGGCCTGAATAAAGCCACTTTTAGCGCTAATTTACAGCAATCGGCACTTTATTTGGTGCACAGAAAATTTTGAGGGAATATTCGAAATACTTTCTGCGAAAGGTGTGGGCCATGTGTCATTTCCCTAGCATCTCTACTACTTAATCTCTCTGAGTTTCACGGTTGCTCCCCACCAGCGGATCCAAACACACCCGTCATTTGTTAGAGCGCGCCATACAAAATAAGCTTGACTAAAAATCATAAGTTTTATCTACTGACCAAGAAATTGAAAAATCTATTGACTACAGTATCTACAATATCTGATCGCGCCACAAAAGAACAAAATCGGATTAATTCATCCATGGCCCAAATCTCCGCAGAAAAAAAATGGCCGTAAATATTTAAAAAGCCACCTGTCTATAACCGACCATCTATGGCCTCCTCACTGAGAAATAGTCAAAAACTGCGATATGTGTAGAATTTGTTTTAAGCCTCACCAACGATTACCGTAGCTTTTATTAGGCTTACTTTTCGGCTTCTTCCCAAGCCCAGATATTGTTTCCTGATGAATTTATGTCTTAATTAATGCTATCAATATTTTTACACATTATATTTTTTTGACTTTCGTTATTTGTCGTTATTTTTCACTATGCTAGAGTTCAATAAATAAACAAATAAATAAATCAATAAAGAAATAAACTTCAAAGAATATTATTTCAAAGGAATCCCAACAGATTGCATTCCAGTCACTCGAACTGCCAGTTGTCGACATGCGATTGAGACATGTGAATCTCGAGGCACACCTGCACACCAATGAAAAATACGAGACCTATTTCAAACGTCGAATCGCCAACATCGTCTCATCTTACTGTGAACATCAGGCTAACGAGTGCCCTGGAGCTACGCTACGTATCACACAGGTACCTATTACTGTACTTTATTTATTTTTAAGTTCGTTGTTGTGTCGGGTCGTCCGTCTGTGCTGTGTTGCGTACGCTGTGATGTAACCCAAAACTTATTTAATTCTTTTATTCCTAACCGAAACTTTTTTTACGATTACCCAGGTTCCCACGATTCCCACGAAAAGTAACCTCTTCTGCTAGGTTCGTACACTTTGCACATTTTTTAGCACTTTCACAGCCCTTCAGGGAGGCGCTGATGGCACCATAAAACTTTTCTCAAGCTTTTCAGCTCATCTCGAGAACTTTTGTTTTCCTCGTTCGAAACGAAGATGAGATTGCAAGCACTGGAAAAAAAATTGATGGCCAGCCAGCGCACATGTTTCCTTCGGGCTGAAGCTATCATTTCTCAATTCGATAAAGTATTGGAACGCCAACAACTGAGCGCTTTTTCCGAATGGCTGCTTAGACCAGGGAATGATCGATTCTACAAAAAAAGGCAGATTCCTATGACTACGCATAAATCAGGAAGGCGCCCAAGTTACCTGTTTCAGACATATTTCTAGGACCTCCTTCCCACCCACACCCGTCTGAATGCAATTAGCAAACAGGTCGTAAACGCCCAATTAGTTTTTGATTAGGAGCGCTACGAGCTACGAGCTCATTCGGCTTTTCGCTTGTTGAATTGTAAGTCAAAGAATAATACCCTACAAAGGGTTTGCACTATAAAATAAGTACCTTTCAAAAGGTCACGTTTGGAACAAATTTCCCATTCAAGCCTGGCAACGGCAATGCAAATTACCCACATTGCCCAGTAGCTCACCCAGAAAGAACGCGTACCCTAATCTAATTTCATTCGATGAGTTTCTCTACCCTTCGCAACAAAGGCCAGATATTTTATTGACGTGTTTTAGCACAGCCAAATCAATAAATTCCCTGAGGCTCAAAAAATTGACTTGTGACTCATAAATGTCCGTAAAAGGCTATCCTAGATATCAGAAAGTATTTTTATTGGGGTTAATTTAATTACACGAAGAAATGACAGGCCAAGAAGTCTTGCTGTGTGTCGCCGTGGAGTAGGCTTTACCACACTCATTTGAAAAAAACGAAGTCTTTCACGACCATTACAGAACTTCCTTTGAGTTTCACTCTAACTCACACTCTCTATAGAGTTTCGATTCTAAAACTCACACCTCGTTACCCAACTCGACCCGCATTGCTCATTACCCGGGAAGCAAGAGGTGCGCGGTTCGAGCCCCGTGCTGCGCGAAAGTTTTGTTCACGAACCCAAAGCGTTCTAGTGAAGCAATCCCTTTGAATGTGTTGTTGTAACATCCGACTTGTATTGAAACAACGCCCAAACTCTCACCCGACCTAAAAACACGGAAAAACTCCAGCAACACGATGAGCACCTAACCCTAATGTCCAGTATTCCATTTCGTAGCGTTATTAGGCCACTTTTCATGTTACTCTGCCTACTGTAATTTCTAGAACACTTACATTTGTGGCAAAATCTTATATATTTAAACATAAAGTCTCTACAAGCTGGACATAGTGTAGTGGAAGCCACCACGCGAGCGGTCCGGGGATCAAATCCTGGGTCGTGAGTCGCCCGGGCCAACCAAGCCTTCCATCCCTCCGGGGTCGGTTAATTGGTACCAGACTTGTCTGGGAGGATAAAAACACTGACTTGTACATCGGCTGGCCCCCGCAAGTCATTGTATAGGCCACATCGCATTCAAACGCCACTACGAATGTACAAATGGAAGTAGAATGCGTGCCGCATCCCAAAAAGGGATTGATCAACGGCAAATGCTTTATCCTTTATCCTTTTTAAACTTCTAATGTTTTCTTTGTAGAAACATTTGACTTGGATCAATGCCAATATTCCTAGATTCGAAACGAAAAGGGCAAAAGTTCCTAACTGTGAGGCAAACCAACCCGTGTTTCCTTTTCATGGTCTATAAATCATCAATTTGGCAGTTTCGCTTTCCCACCATAACTTTTCCAATATTTACATTTTTCCGTAATTGTAGAAGGTCAGATTCTGGCTGTGGGAAATAAGGAGCAATGATTGGTCCTTTTCTGGTCCCAAGCCTTCAAAGAACGACGCTAGTTTCTGTCTCACTAATACTACTAACTGAATTCTGGCCAAGATGGACTCCACCAGGCTTGCGCATTACAGACGTCATCCGACGCATCACAGTCAGACGACAAAGACGACGACAAATCCGTGCTATATGCAGCTGATGATGAATCAGAACCGCTTCTCACTCAGAACAACGTCGTACTGTTACGTGTGGAACGTGAACCAATTAATGTTACTCGTATTCTTTTCGCTATCACGAAATCCGAAAATGTCGGCTCACTCAACGAACAAATGATTATTGATCCGGTTAAGGTAAGCCAAGTACCCACTTAAGAGCCATTTTCCGGTCACATCACCCATATTCCAGGTGAAATACATCCTCGGGAGTCAAGCTGGTCCATTAGCGCGAATACTCGGGGGAATCAAACTTGACAGCGTCCGAGTTTCTCGAATACGACGACATCTGAAGGCCTCAGACACCGATAACACACGGCTAATCACTATCATCTCCATCGTCGGCGCTTTCTTCGCCATCTGCTACATCATCGGCGCTATACGACTTTGCAGGTACGTAATTTCTTATTTTGAATCCAATTCAGGAGCAAAGTCATTTGGGTGGGGCATCTTGATCTTGCGCATCACCAAAAGCACTAAACGTAGGAGGGGAGGAGCACGGAATAAAATGACAACTGTTGATGCACCACCTTCCAAGTCTTAAAAGCCCGCCACCTTGACCCGTGGTCCGTTAAATCAAAGTGCCCCACCCAACTATTTTTGCATCCCAATTTCTATAAACGTTCAAGCCAATCACCCTCGAGTACGGAAGTGAAAAACCAACGAATATAGCGCCGATGTTTTGTGAAAAAGGGGTAGCTAGGCGCTCAACTGGCCCCTCAACAAGTGCATTTCCCAGAAGATTAGCTGCAGCTCTCGAAATCGATTCTATCAGTCTGGCTTGTGTTTTTCTACTACTTAAGATTAACTCGTGTGCATCCTCACAATCATCCTTTCCTCTCAACTTAATCAATAACGTATCCATGCCTCTGAGAGCCTAGGATATGCCAAGGCC